GAGCACACTCAACCCTCATCCCCAGAAACAGAAGCTAACCCCAGGCAAGGCAGCGTGATGCATCCCGAGACAACAGGACGGGGACATCTACATAACTGTGTGAGTCAATCGCCTTCAAAAAGTTTATCAATTCACTTGAACCAAAATTGCGAACACCCGGTGCTGCAAGAGTTAATAGTCTCAATACCCAAGGATAAGCAGAAGAGCATGACTGATATGATGAAACTGGGATTTTGTTACACTTAATTATTGCAAACACAACTAAAACTATAACTGAAACTAATCAAAACTAAACTGAAACTAAGGATTTTCAAAAAAAATAGAAACTAAACTAGCAAACAATTGGTAAAAACTAATTACAACTGATATAAAATTGAAAATCTGAAGTCAAAACTAAATAAAAATAAAAAGTAATGAAAATTGCAAAACTATTAAAACCCTGCATAAGACGCAGACATGACAACCTGAACTTGACAATGTAAGACACAGACATGAAACACATGAAGGGCAAGGGAGACTTGACAGGGGCTGGAAGACACAAGGGGAATCTAATAAGAAAGAACTATACCAACCTAGGCATGATAGAAATGAACTTAGAAAACCTGAAGGGCTTAAACATAAACAGGAACATAAACTAAAACTCAAAACGCTGGATCAAAAGACCCAGGATCGTGACAGAACATAAAACAGGTGGTGATGATGATGATTTTCTCTTACATGTTTGTTCTGTTTTTCTATTATAATTATTATTATCATTATTACTATTCTAATATTCTGTTATTGTTACTCTTAGTTTTCCCCTTCGGCGTGTCCGTTTCCACAGTTAGCTTTGTGTCATCGGTATGTTCATAAGGGATATTTACTGTGAGCATTAAACACAGGAACGTGCACGCAATCTAAGTTACCTTCTCAGGTAACTTTATTCAATAGAATTGTACTTATATAAGATAAGCTGTACAAGGTTGTGTTCTGTTAGAAATGTTAGAAAAAGAAATGGATTTTAAGACATCAAGCTGTCTCAAAATCAGACGTTTCTGTAGATGTCATGGTTGGCTGTGTGGCAGGCATGGGTAGGACCCAAACACATGAATCGGAGGCAGCAGAAATAAAGTAGCAGCTTTATTGCAGATTTACTAAACTCAAAGTCAGGTACAAAGAAACATTAAAAGAAACAAAACTGAAGAAAACCATTAATCAACATCTGAACATTACCTGATGCTGCTGAAGTGTGTTAGCAGAGATATGAAAATGCGCAGGGAAATCTGATGTGCATGCCTGGCAAACTTCACCGACGATACTTAGGGAGGAATAGACACACATCAGCCTTTGGCCATTTTGGATCAACGCTCACGCCCCCTAGAGAGCGCCAACTTTATTAACAGCCACACACATGTACATGTTACATCAAACATAAATAAAGCCTTTGGCTGTTTCCGTAATTGAGAGCATTTTCTCTCCTTATGTCAACAAAGTGAAGTAGAGCAAAGTTACAGAGGTTTGATTACAGACACAGCTTAGTGTTTTGCAATTTTGCATAATATTAAAAAGTTTACATTTCTTCAATATTAAACAGCAGAAATAAGAATTTCTTGTCAGCAGTCAGTTAAAAAAATTTTTAAAAGTGTTGGCAGTGCTGCCACGGATGCGGTGGCAGGTGTGTGGTGTTGTGAAGAAAAGACCCAAATGCTGGCAAAAGCTGTTCTGCGAGTGAGCTTTATTGACTGAGTGGCAAACAGGAAATGAGGACTGCATAAACTAAACTGTAAAAGTAAAACAGGAAATTCAGAAACACATACTCAGGGCCATGAACAGAGCACTGGGGGAGGACACAGGTAGGTATACAAAACACTAAACACAAAACCCCTAGGCAAGTGAATAATGCAGATAACAAAGATTTTTAGATGGGAAACTGTTGTTGAAGTACAGAGAGAGAGAGAGAGAGACAGAGAGAGATGTGCATGAAGTATGATTTTTATCGTGGTGGAAGTAAAACAGCAAAAGTCAGCACAAGAGCACCTGGCTGCAGCCACCGGGGAGCGCCATACTGCGACCTCCACAGTAACCAGAAACACGTAACTTTAGTTAAATCGACTTTGACAGCGAAAACTAAATTGTGTTTTTGTTACTGTTGATGCTGCTGATAAATTAATTTGGTTCTAAGTGTTTTAACACTCTGGTGATTTTTTTTTTTTTTTTAAATAAACCCATACCTTCAGCTCGTTTGTGGCCAAAAGTGTCCATGTGTTTTTGTTTCTTTGCTTTTTCTGCATAAAGGTTTTTTTTAATAAATATAAAATAGTCATTACTTTTTACATTCTTAATCCTTCAAACACCTTTTTCTAGTACAATGCACCTGTTTGAAGACAACCTCAAGACACCATGTCATTTATCAACAGTGCTACTGGAAATTATTGTACAGTGGTCCCTCCCGCTGTTTCCCTGATTTTTTTTTTTTTTTTTTTTTTTTTTTTTTTTACAGCAGATTTTGTTGTTTTTTGTTCAAGGAGAGCAAAAAACATAAAACTCTCTAGTAAATGTGTGGACGTATTTTACCTCACTAGTGTGCGCCCCATTTCTTCCAGGATCACTCTTCATTTGTAAGTTTTAGAGGACTCCTAGTACTGTGAAGTAGTTTTCATGGGTCAAAGGCTTGTATTCCAAGATCTGGGAGATTGTAGAGATGAGCAGTGATGCCCTTCTTGCCATCTTTCCAGAAAAACAAGTGATCTGGAAGCTGTTAGGCTTCCTTACAGCAGTAGCACTTTTTGCACCTGCAGAAACTCCAGGACACATTTATTAACAGTGTTTGTTGCTGTGTGTGCTGCAGCTTTGAATTTTTTTTGAGAGTTAATATTTTGGCTTTGGTGTCTTGTTATGAAATGTACAAGAGTAAAAGTGTTAGCAGGTGTGTCAAAGATAAGTTGGACTGGGAAACTTAAAGTTCAATAGTCTGTATCAAGATAAATTCACTGCAGCCTGTGTAATATTTGATGCATCATAATTTATTCCAGTCTATCTTTCAAATACATATTTGTGTTGCAATGTCATGCACAACACACACAACCATTAGATCCTTAAGATCAAACCTGTGTCATTCTTTTGGTCCACTGCAGTGCAGTAGTATAAAAATATTATTGATTACAGGATAATACATTATTGTTAATGTCAACAGTAACTGAACTGAAGAGCTTCAGAACTGAAGAAGCTTCTCGGATGAGAGGTGAAACGTCTTCAAGCATCTTAAAGAAGTCCAGACGCTTTTCTTTGCAAGCTCCTTAGACTTCATTCATCTAAATGATTTATTTTTCTTTATTATTATTTATTTTATTATTTATTAAAATAGACATGACAGGGGTTTTTTAATGGTCAAAGCACCATATTATAAGCACCACATTGACCAGAGACTGTCAATTCAGCTCTGTAGAGTGGTCAATTATAATGAAGCAGTTCACTGGAAGTTGTAGATTCAGCTGCTCTTCATATGTTTGTCCACCAGATGTCACCAAAGAGGACTATGTTGAAAAGCTTCAAGTTATTAAACTTTTTAAAACAAGCTTCAGCACTTCAGAAAGCTTCATTTGGCCATCACTAACAACTAGGCATAA